ATCCGGCACAAAGTTATATTGCTGGAAAGATAAAAGTACTCAAAATCATTTTAAAATTTAGAATAACATGATAATAGCGCGCTAGTGATGATATAGTGTACGTATTTCTGAAAATGGTTTTTGACTCATCATGAGGTAAATTTAAAAGACAAAATTTTCTCATTGGAGAGGAAATGACTGCACTAAATTATTTCCATTTAGTTTTCGGATGCTTCAATAATTAGAGACAAGTGGCTGAGAAATGCCATCCAAATCATTTGAGAGAGAGAGTTAGCATAGTCATACACATGCATACACCCATGCATTAACATGGATGCAGGGACGTAGCCAGGAGTAAGAGTTGAGCTGGACCGATACAAAGAATTTTTACCGATAAATTTTTACACATAAATTTTTACATTAAAAATATAAGCAATTTTAAAATTTGGGCTAGGCCGTGGCCCGGTTGGCCACCCCTCCACCTCCGCCCTTGCATGGATGATGAAGTAGCCAAGTAGGACAAGTGTACTCAAACTATGCCACCTTGAAACCTTAGGAGCAGCCACGTATAACATAATGTGTATAAGAAGCTCAAGAGATTTTCCTTTTTGGGTTGTCCCAAAATAAGTGTCATATTTCCCTTTTTGGAAAGAAATATGTAGTTCACAACATTTCACTTTACTGTACTCAAATTTCAACCACAACTTTTATCTTTTCAACCATTTTATTTAAAATTGTGCCAAAAGCAAAGAAGACACATAACGTGTCATTATTTTCTGATTAAACGATGTTAGTTCTTTAATATGAATTTTATTAAAGTGCCGTTTAATTTTCAGTTAAAGAGAAGAGCATTCCTTAATCATTATATCCATTTTCATGAATAAATACTCGAAAATTGTGTTATAATTAAAGTTATGAATTATGTGTATATTGTATTTACGAACGTAAGATCATAGCTCAAACAATATATATAATTAACATGATTATTTTAATAATATTATAAAATACGGAGTATTTACTTATTAGCACCTACAAGGTACGGATAAATATATGGGATATGTAAGTTTAAGAGAACATTTTTATTAAAAAGCTTTACTCTAGGATAATTACGAGTTTTATACGAAGTACTCCGTGTATAACAAAATCAATTTGTCTTGGGGTACACAAGATGTACACATATTGTACATCATATAAAAACCCCAAAAAATTACCATTCCATTTACCCCCACCTTCTCTCCTCTCTTTCTTTCCCTCCCACTCCCCCTTCCTTACGTATTTTCGCACACAAACAAGCTCAGCAAAGGTCTACTGTTCACTAAAGCTTCTTCTTCCTCCTGTTCTCTTCACATCTCGGCGGAGGAAGTATAATAACACTTGAGGAATGGATTATACTCTTGAGGAGATGGCCTTCATCAGTAGTCATGACATGGTCGATTTTATTGGAGCTAAAGTAGACGAAGCTGGCTCCGGGTCTGAACCTCCGGCGACACAAGAAGGTGAGCCCTGTACGAAAGATGTCGGCGACGGAGAGGAAAACCAGATTCTGGAGGTTGATGATGAAGAAAGTACGTAAAACGTAATGTCTGTGAAGACAGGCATTTCGTGGTTTCAGTGTCTGTAGACAGGCATTTCGAGAAAGAATAGGCAAAAAGGGACAATTGAAAAGGGAAGAAAAAAGCTAAGGTACATATATCCATTTGTCTGTGAAACCGGATCAAATTGTCTGGTCACAGACATTAACCTACTGGAACCCCTGGGTCACCAAAGTGTGAAATGCATGTGCGACCATACTAATTTGTCTGGCCACAGACATTAAGCCACTGGAACCAATAGATTACCCAAGGTATAAATGTCTGTGGGGCCGGAGGAAAATGTATGGCCACAGACATTAAGCCACTGGAACCAATAGATTACCCAAGGTATAAATGTCTGTGGGGCCGGAGGAAAATGTATGGCCACAGACATTAAGCCACTGGAACACATAGATTACACAAGGTATAAATGTCTGTGTGGCCGGAGGAAAATGTCTGGCCACAGATATTAAGTCACTGGAACCAATAGATTACCTAAGGTATAAATGTCTGTGAGGCCGGAGGAAAATGTCTGGCCGCAAACATTTAGCCACTGCAACTTCAAATTTCCTATCCACTCATATTATGTACTATTGCAATGTATAACAGGGGCGGCCAAAAAAACAAGCTGGGAAAGCATCAGGGGAAGTGGCCGGACCAAGCAACGTTGAAGAGGTAGTACCAAGAAATGTTGCACCAACCAATTTAGAATGGATGTATAATGATGACTTAAGCTTGAACCTTTCTTTGTTTTAGGCAATTACAACGCATGTAATAACTCAATTTTTGTATCATGACAATCAATGACATTTTGTCACATACTTTGCCATAACTATATTCAAAATGTCGCAATTTATGACATATTGTCACAATATATGAATCAACAGAAGATCCACAAATTGGCAATGCTAGAAAGATTTAAATATTGGAATGTTCACATCCAATATACTACCATCATATACTGCAAAACCAGAAGTTGATATACATATGTTTGGTTTAGGGATTACATAAAAAACATAAGCATATATATAACTACTTCGGGGCATATGATGGACAAATTGTTACAACAAAAAATAAGTACTTTAGTTTAAGTGTTTTTTCCCATCATTCACAAGCCCTCATACATTCTTGAATCTTCTACGCTTTCTTCATAAAACCCCATAGGCGTACTGCAAAGTTGTTTCGTATTGTGCGGCAGTTGTCGTACTCACACCCGGGTGTTAAGGGGAGGTCGTGCATCAAATGTTTAGCAAACGCCATAACCATAACACCGCATACTCCACTCCTGCACATAAGTAATAATGAAGTCATATATACATATACGATTCCACCAGTCATCAAACACCATAACCTTAAGATTATTTATCAATATTATTTTACCTTATTCCATGTTGCGGAACCACCAGTTCATGCTTCTTCCTACGAATTACACAAAAGAACTCGTTCATGTACACACTAAATCAGTTACAAGTAATTCAATTGTACACCCAAAACCAAGCATTGTACAGACCACATAATGTACAGACAATGATGAACCAACGTACAGACACATGTACTAAGTATGTATCACGTACAACAATATACTTATTTACCTAATAAGAAGCATTCGAAGTGTGAAGAGAAGATTTCCCTAAGAACACACAATAAAATAAAGTAATTGCAAACACACAATAAAAAGGACAGAGTTTAAAAAATAGGGAAAATGGAAACTAATAATTCAACCTTTTAGCGGTCTTCTTACAATAGTACCACCTTTTGATTATTCATGAATAATCCAACCTTTGCACCTCATCTTCATTCATTGGTCCCTGACCGGTTGATGACCTACCATTCCAAGTTATTTTCTTATCTTTGCAAACCATTATACCATAAATCTCACCTTTCATGAAGATAATATTTTGCAAAGATAAGAAAATAACTTGGAATAGCAGGTCATCAACCGGTCAGGGACCAGTGAATGAAGATGAGATGCAAAGGTTGGAGTATTCATGAATAATCAAAAGCGAAGCTTCAAAACACACATTAACAATAACACCACGATTGAAGTTAAAAACCTAAAAAAATAATATGTGAAGCTTAGGCACTGTACTTGAAACCTTAGTGATTGAGTATATCATTTGTTGTCTGAATTGAAACCTGGTCAGCCCAAAGGGTAAATGACCAATAGGAATTGTAAATGACTTTAAAATCTTGTAAAATCCAGATGAAAACAGGCCAAGAACTCCAAATGTTGTGCATTATGGTGTTACCTTTGCGGTTACTTCAATTTGTGTGATTCATAGATGTTTTTTCACAGTGATGCAACTAACTAATTCATACGTAGTATCATGTAATTGAAAAAAATGATATTTTGTTTTATCTAAGAGGACTAAAACTTTTTTTTATATTACAGATCACTCAACAAAATAGTATGCTTGTTCATTTAACATATTTTCTTAGATAAGATTACAATAATTCATAAGAAAATTAGTAAGGTTTATAACTAATTTCAACCTGTAAAGGTCTTGATTTAGGATAAGAAATGTGGTTGATTCACAAAAAACTATTGACCATATACAGAGCTAAACATGTACTATCTCTACTATAAGATATTTGTCTCACTCAACATACATGTTACGTATAGTTCCTTTGCTCTACACAAATACACCGATACATATTTTTAGGTTAAAGAACACCCTGCTTGGATTCATTTTTGCCTATAGCAGGTGGATTAAGAGCTTCAAAAACAGAAGAATTGCTTACATTTTGAGGTTAAATAATTGACAAATCAAGTCACATGTAACACAAGACGAATTCCATCAAAATCGATTTTACAACCTAAACCGTCTGGCCACAGACATTATACTTCCATCCCCAAAACAAAAACAAAATGCTACAATCCGGCCCCTAAAGGTTCCCAACCCACCATTACAGTGTGTTTCTCGCTTCATCAAACTAAAATTTTCAAGTGTAAACTTCGAAATACCCTAATGATTTCAAAAATAAGCCAAGAATGTAACAAGGTAAACAAACCACACAATAGGGGGTCAAATTCAACAATACTACTCACAAATGTGTTCAAGAAGTGGATATTACCTTCTCTTTGACGTACACACCATGGTTGTGTCTTCTTCCGCCTGCAAGTCGACGATTCAGACCGGGTCCGAGGTAGCCGCTTCGAGCCGACGACGGTCTGTGCGAGATGAGGCCGCTTCGACCCGACGACGGTCTGTGCGAGAGGAGGACGCCGGCTTCAGACAGGTCGTGCTGGACGAAGAAGAACAACGGCGTGGGGGGGGGGGAGATATGCGCACAGAAAGAGAAAAAAATCGGCTAGGGAAGGAAAAGTGGAGCGACGGGAGTTCTGGGAGAAGGCTCACACATGTGTGAGAGAGAGGTGGGGAAAGGGGTAAAAAATTTGAACTGATTTATTTTTGCCCTTTTATATGGTGTACAACTAGTATACAAACAATGTACACTAAGCATTTTTTATAACAAAATTCTATTCTACCCGCGTCTTGCTACTCTGCGGCTCTGCGCTAAATATACCCTAACCTACCGGTCTTTTTCTTATCTCATGCCCCTCTACTGAGTTTGAGTCACGAACTGATTGGTATCTATGCTACCTACGAGAATTAAACTTTTCTTTTCTTTAATTTCTTCTTTCGATTAGAGATGTTCTGAATTTGAGAGAGTTTTTTTTTTCATCTCAGGCGGCACCCCACGAGCGAGAGAAGTGGATTCAGACGTTCATTACTGAGATATTCTGAATCTGTGAGTATATTTTTCATCTCAGGCGGCAATCCACGAGAGAAGTTCATTGCTGATTCAACATTTGTTTTCCAGGCTTCCTATTGTAAGAATTTGATATACTCCGTAGTATTAAACATTTTATTAAATATTGATTTTGATTTGAGATATTCTGAATTTGAGAGATAAGATTTCTACTACTCTGAGATATTCCGAATCTATGAGTATTTTTTCATCTCAGGCGGCAGAATTTGATTGAACTCGACCTCTGAATTTGATAGAGATACTATTACAGATGTTATGTAATAATACTATCTGTAATACGAGTATTACTTTTCTTGCATTTGTGATTTCTGAGATATATTTCTGATTATTCAGATGAGGATTCAAGATTTACAGCGTGAGATGTTTGATGTTGTGAAAATCCACGGCCATATTGAAATTGCAACAGTTCATGATGCTCTGCAAGCCCCTCCCCCTTTGAGTTTGGGAAATTGGGAGACAATAAGCTATGATGAATTGAAAAAAGAAGACACCCCACTCTCACTCATTCTCTGGCATGGACGGATTTACTACTGGGCTTCTGGGGTGAACAGACCCGACGCACCCTCCAACGCCGCCGCCGCCTCATCAGCCTTCAACGCACCTGTCATTGGTAAATGCATTGTGGGACTTCTGGGCTTCTGGGCGGCTTACTTATCGCGCTGATTTGTGTGGCCAAAAGCATTTTGGGACTTGTGAAGGAATTGATGTATTTGGTGCATCAGCCAAACAAATTGTGGCTGATCTGATGTGCTTGATTGTCCATTTGTCTCTAATGTTTCCTGATTTTAATTTTTTTTTCTCAGACATTCCTTCATTCAAAGGCCTCATCTTTATGCTTGATCACAAGTACGGTTATTGTAAATGTGTGATAAAGATTTCATCTTCAGTGTAGCTTTCTGAGATTTAAAAGCTTCCTGAGTGGGAGGTTTTATTTGTTTGGGGAAAAGTGGGATTCAAGATGAGGGAAAGGTAGGGATTTTAGCATGTACTTCGTAAATGGTTTCTTGTTTGGGTAGATTTGTGGTGGAGAAGAACAGTTTGAGGGTGACGTCCCCAGTCTCCATAAGATGTGTATGAGTGTGCGAGTTATATTTCATGTATAAAAAAAACTCCCTATAGATGAGCTCAAAAACCTCAAGTATATATTTCATGTTTCCGAAGTACTACGTATAAATTTTCACATAATTGAATAGAACCAAGTCTGTTTGAAACAGTACTTATAATACGAGTAGCAAATAGTGCACAATACCATAAATTAGGGAAATAAACTAAAACAAACTCAACGTTTGTACTAATATTAATTCAATACTAAATAAAGCTCAAAATCTATACTAAAACATGTAAATAGTGAAAAACCTAAAGTACTTGAGCTAGTGTTTAACAATAAAAATCAAGAACCAACAATCTCATTCTTCCTCTTAAGCTCAATCCAATGCTGAATTGCTTTTTCTTCCATACTTGCTTTCAATTCATTGAAAAGATGGCTAACCAAATCCATCACAATGCACATCCTTAAATCAGGTTGAACATATATGATAAAATAGTCACGTTATTGATACATATATACAAATACTTGCTAAATTTATCCATATTATTAATTTCCTTGTATTCTTAGGTTTCACATTTCCTTTTAGAACCGGTAAGTGTGTGTTCTTTACATGTTTTGTACAAGTATATTGTATGAACTCACCAACAGTGAAGGACCTAGGAGGGGTCCTGGGGGTAAGTGCCCCGCTTTCGATCCCGAACTTTAGTATTAGTACTTAAGATAAAAATTGTGTCCCCGCTTCCCGGACAAAAAAATTAGAGATTTTTTCATAAATATTACCTAAATATTTATGGTCACGATACTTTGGTCACTATATTGATAGAGTTGAACACAGTCATGGTCACTAAAATTACTATAGTAGTTACTAAGTCATATTTTTGTTCACTATCTTTATTTCAATCATATTGTTATTATTTCAAAAAACTAACAAATATAAACAATCACAAAATTATGATGAAGAAAATCCTTATAGTTAGACATGTTATTGAAACGATTACTACACTTTCTTTGAAAAGTGGCATTGTAATTTATTTCAGTTAGGGTGAATAATGTTTGTCCAACGTTAAAAGTCAAAGGCATGACAATAGTTCTAATATGTGGGATGAACTTAATAGATTGAAGAACTTTTATCTTGAATAAAAGTCCATACATGAAAGAAGTGTCATTTTGCGACAAATTAATTTCAAACCGACATGCCCTTTGAGTTTTTTATCTATGATATGATAAAAAAATAGATAATAGAATCATATTATAAAATAAAGTCGTATTAAAGGAAGAAGTCATAAACTTGATTTATACTTCATTTTTAACACGATAGTATTATATTTTAGACAAGTGCAAACGAATTATGTGGCACAATGTGCAGCATTCGACATGATCCTAGTTCAGATATCAAATCTTGATCATTATATTATTGAATGAAAAATAAGAATTCTAATGTAAAATAAAAAACGGTGTAAGGATGAATCATTTCTAATTCAAATTATGTCTTTCTTTCAAAAAGTCAAATATTATTGTTTAGAATTGTCTTAGTGAGTTCAAAATTAGACTTATAAATAGTTATAATTCATATATGTTCATTGGTTGATGTCGGCATTGAATTACTATTTCCAGTTAAAATTAATAATCTCTTCGCACTTGATAAAAAAGACCAATGATAGACCCGACCCGACTCATTTTCATCTATGCGAGAGTGCCCCCGCTTCACAAAACTTCTGGGTCCGCCACTGCTCACTAATATATATATAAGCAATGTGGAACTCGCATAATATTCTCCACATGTTTAGTGTTGTATTTCGCTACTCTAACTTTATTCCTATTGTTGACAACATATACTTTCTTCCAGAAACATGCATAATAGAAAATTATTTGAAATGATTACCAAAAAAAATGGGAAGATGGAAATTAATAATCCAACCTTTTAGCGGTCTTCTTTTAATAGTCCGACCTTTTCATTATTCATGAATAATCCAACCTTTGCACCTCATCTTCATTCATTGGTCCCCGACCGGTTGATGACCTGCTATTCTGAATTATTTTTTATCTCTGCAAACTATTATACCATAAATTCCATCTTTCACAATGATAATATTTTGCAAAGATAAGAAAATAACTTGGAATAACAGGTCATCAACCGGTCAGGGACCAGTGAATGAAGATGAGGTGCAAAAGTTGGATTATTCATGAATAACGAAAATGTGGGACTATTAAAAGAAGATCCCAATTTGATGATCTCATTTCTTTTGGGCTCAAAGATTAAGGAAGTGGTTAAAAAGGTAAAAGTTGTAGTTGAAATTTGAGTAGAAAAAGATGAAATGATGTGGACCACATATTTCTTTCCCAAAAGGGAAATGGGACGGCCCAGAAAGGAAATATGGGATCATCAAATTGGGACGGAGGGAGTACTACATACTTCAAACACGTTCAACTCATTTGAAGAAGCTTTTAGAGAAATCATTAAAAACTTTAAGCACACACGCACACACTATTATGGAATGGAGCAAAAAATTAAATATGACAAATAAAGGGAAAGGTGAAATCTCTGAAGCGTTGCTTATAGTTTTGAGAAGCAAAAGCAACCTCGCACAAGTTGAAGGATCAGGAAGTGCCATGATGGTAGCACTGAGACTCTCAAAAATTGGTATTTGGAGTGTAAATGTAGCTTAAATTTCTATAAATGTAGGTAGAACATCACATTTTAATAAATGTATGATACTAGAGGTATGACATTAAACACTTGTAGCGCGATAAATGTTAATAAGATTGTAGTATTGTACTAGAGGGGTATTAGGGTATAAGCCCAAATGATTAGTTGTCTTTTAATATTGTTGTTGTTGAGCCGGGATAGGTTTGTAGGTTTATTGTTATGTATTTAGTGCATGTTTGGCTGGCATAAGTCTCTGTCTTGTAGCTTTTGTACTGTTTAAAAAGTCTCTTAAAGTTTCTAGTTGCATGTTTTGGTCTATTCCAATGGTATGTTTGTTAGCAAGCTTAGATTCACAATAAATAAATAAAAAAAGATCCAAATCTCAACTTGATTTACACAAAGTATTGTTATTCTCAAGAATATTATCTCTCTAACACACTTAACAGATCAGGGGATTAAGAGACATGGTTCTTCATATCAATAAGAAAAGCATAACCGATGTAACTAGAAAACTCGGAATTTAAAATGCATCTCACGAAGGCATATGCAAGAAAGGTTTATATTGAGTTACCTTAAAAGTGTCATTCTACTTTGAATGTTTGAACCATTGAAGTTACATTATGCTTCATAATATTTGTCATCCATGTTAGATAGAAGAAAAAATAATATGATAACCAGTTGCTGTTGTTAATCATGTTAGATTTTTTCCAAGAGTAATTTCAAAACATCAAAATTTCATTATATATTGTACTGTACTACGTAATTATGTATATAAGGGGCTGTTTGGTGGCCCCTTTTCAGCTTAACAACACTGAACTTTTGACTTTGAAAATATCCTTCGGAGGGTGAAAAAGTAAAATCCCGAGTTTAGTGTAAATTTGGGGACCAAAGCTAAGTCTCGAAGAATTTTGTGTTTGGACACTTGACTTTCAAATTTCATGCATTTTGTAGGGAGAAAATCAAATAAGAAGTATTTAAGGCCTGCTATTTAAGACCTGCTATTAAACGGGTTGTTTATATTTGAAATTTGAGTCGATAAAACGTTGGAGAACTTCTTTTTCAAAAAAAAAAAAGAAAAAAAAAGAGGGGCATTAATTAGAAGTACAATAAGTGGTACTACTAGTTTTTTTGTCCCAACTGGGGTGCATGCCTCTCAACCCCCCAGGTAAACGAGGGCGCTCCTCCACGATGTCACACAAATTTACTACTCCGTAGATGACAATTGCTTCAAATTTTAGTAAACCAGTACATATATCAATAATAATGTCGAGTTGTCGACTAATGCTAAGGTAAAAAACACATAGATGTAAGTATGTAACGAATCATAAATGAGCACATGAAAATTAGAACAACAAAAATGTAAGCCTTTCTTCATCTTTGTAAAGTTTCATGCACATAATGATTTTCAAGTAAATCGTGAACTCAATATAGGTAATAGGATATAGCTAAGGTTTATTGAAGCCCTAAACCCTATTGTCCGGTACTTTACCTAGTACACCATGACCTCTTATGATCTCTCTTCTAAAAATCATTCTAGGCGTCCGACTAGTCCCCGCCTAGGCGCTAGGCGGTGGCCGAGCGCCCCGATTTTCGCCTAGGCACTCCGACTAATTGGTTAGCCATCTAGGTGAATTAGTCGGCCGCCTATGGCGCCTAGTTGCCCGTCTAGAGCGCCTAGTCGACCAACTAGGCCGTCTAGATTTGCCCAACATTAATGGAAAATCACATTTTTAGTCACCATATTGAAATGTCAGACTTGTATTTATGAGATTGTAAATGACACCCCTTAATTGTCCAAATTGTTGTAAACCTTGCCCACATTGTACATGTCACCTCTCAAAGGAACACATTTACAGCAATTTGGATAATTGAGGGGTGACATTTACAAATTGGGGAACACGGGTTTGGCATTTCAATATGGTGACCATTTCAGGGACTAGAAGTGCGATTTTCCTTAATTTTAATTTTCTAAGCGTTATACGTACTTTAACTTTAGTCATGTATAAAAGAAATGAAGTTGTAAATTAAGATAAACCTATATATGTTTGAATATATACCTAAATTTTAACATTATTTATAATTATAACATAATGAAGTTAACTGGTTAATTATCGTATACTACGTATGATTAAATGTGATAATTATAACATTCATGTTTGTTAATGTGTATATGTACTTTATACACACAAAAATACAATATTACTTATCATATTTGTGCAAAAATATAGATAAAAATACAATTTCTATGCCGCCGACTAGTCCCCGCCTAGGCGCCTAGGCGCTGCTGGGCTGGCGCCCGACTAGAGCATAGCGCCTTTTAGAACATTGCTCTTATGATGGAATCTCAAGTTTTAACATGATACTAGAGTCAAGTTCAATTGCGACTTGAGTCACTTGACTATTTGTTTAGACTTTAGACCCACGAAGAAGGGTAACTTGTTAAAGGTCGGTTTGATCCATTTATA